ATCGGCCCCGTTACAATGAAGGAGGCCGACGACTTCGGCTTCCAAGGCGTGCCCATGCCTTAATGAGCATCGCGGCATATAAAAACGAAAAAAGTCAATAGTGATTGGACCCACTTTGAACCCTACTTTTCTACTCTTTCCTTTCTTGTCTTTTCTTTCTTTTCTTCCTATAGTCGCCCCTGGTCTTCTCCTCTTTTCGCTGCAATATTCGACCATCGCCGCCACTGTTCGTTTGCTCCCGTACGTCTCTCCCTCTCCCTCTTGCGCCCACGGCCGTCCGTCGCTAGCATCCGCTGCGGCCGACCGCTCTACCATCTACTGCCGTCCCAGTGCACCGCTGCCAACGTCGCTGTTCCACTGCAGCCTCCACGCACATCGCCGCACACCACTGCCACTGCGGTTCGCCCTGTCTCACTCTCCCTCATGCACGTCGCCTCCGCACCCACGATGCAACCCACTGCCGTTGCACAAGCAGTGTTTCTCATTTTCCCACACGTGACCCACGGACATCTGCCGTCGCCATCTCCAACCGCCGTACCAACCTTCTTGGAATTCGCTTGCCGTGGCTGATCTCCGCGGCTTTACACAGTGGTACTCCTATCTACTCTCTTTTTTGCCAACTGGTGACTAGAATTTGGAGTTTCTCCTATTTAATTTCATCCTCTCATTGGGCTTGGGATATTTGTTGGTTGTGATTGGGTGCATTTGACTATTGGCTGCATTTCGGAGGGTCCCGTGTCTGCCCTTTATTATCTTCATTTGCCTTGGTGACGCCAGTGGGGTATCTTTGTTTCTCCTCCATCAATTGTTTGTTGACTGTTGACTGTGGGGATTGTTATTTGTGGTCCCTTGTCTCCATTTGGTGTTTTCTTGTCGGCTCTGTGCCTTTGTTATTGACATCTTTGCCCTTACATGGCTCCGGAAAAACCTAATCTATCTGAGTCATCAGGTTCCAAGCCTCATAAGAGGCGGGCCCCGATTCAACCCCCCATTAGGTTCCGTTTGGATCTATGTAGGAGTACTTTGTTTCCTGAGGTGTGGGAAGAACCTCTAAATGACCTCACGCATGAACAGAAGGAGCGATTGAGCTCCCTGGTGGTACATCCATTTGTCCCTTGCAAGTGTTTCCATCCCCCGACTCTGGACCAGTTGAACATTGTTAGCAAAGTGGAGCAGTTGTTCTCTGCCATTGGGTGGGAACGGTTTCTGGTTATTGACTACCCCTCATACGAGGAGTTCTGTTATGAGTTTTATGTCACTTTCGAATTTGAGAAATCTGATTTTCTGGCATTAGATACACCGGGGGTGGTCAAATATAGGTTGTGGGGTACCCACAAGCACATTCTATTAATGAGTTCAACATGATCCTGGGCTTTGTGAGTGAGGACACTCTCTCCTCCGACACGTATATCAATAGGGCGTGCGACTTCACCAAACCCTTGCGAGCAATTATATCGAGATCTGGAGGAAGTGGTCCACGAATACTCAACTCTACGACCCGAGTTAGTCCAAGGCCTCCTATCTTGAGGATCCAGTACTGAAGGTCATTCATAGGTTTCTAGCCTATAACTTTTCCGGCCGAAAAGATTCCTCTGGCACTCTCGCCAAAGCTAAATTTTATTTCCTCTGGTGCATGCGTAATAAGGTCTAGGTCAACTTTGGTTGTTCGGTAGTCTCTTAGTTGTAGTCCGTCCTCCGCAAGCGCCATAAGCCCTTGATTATGGGCTCACTCATCACATACTCGGCCGTCCACTTGGGAGTGTTTGACCTGGATAAGGACCATAAGCTCACCAGGGCTCGCGAGCTTGAGTCTTTGGACCTGTGCAATTTGGAACGGATAGGCGTCATTCGCAAGGTGGGGGAGGCCTATCAGTTCACACCTCCTGGAAAGGGTGTGCCCCAACCCCGGGTTCCCCCCACTGTGTCCACCTCGGAGGCTGGTCAGGCAGGTCCTTCCTTCTCCGCTGCTCCATCCTCTTGGGACACCTAGTTCCATGCTCTGTAGGACTCGAAGTTGCGTGGGATTAGGAGACATCTTCAAGAAACCTTTTCGCAACAAAGCAAGGAGAAAAATATGGAAAAGGATTCCTTACAAAAAAAAAAAAAACAAACACTTGTTTAGCAAAAGTGAAGGTGGCGGCGAAACTATAAATAGGACAACAATAGACTAGGATTAGGTATCTTTTGTCTTTGGAGCATTGTCTTCTCCTTTTGAACGAAAACTAGGGACCAGCGGTTGTACCGTTTTTCTTACTTTTTTCATGAACTAAATTCTATTCCATTAAAACTGTCAATTGCATCATCGTTATGAGGCAAGGCTAGCCGCCTTTATTTAGTTGAGGAATGATCAAGACCCGGTGCATAGACAATTGTGAGGTCTTTTTAATTATTCTAAATTCGGCATTCGTGAGTATTTAATTATTCTTTGTTTCAATAGCCTATTATTGTTTGGGTTTATTGGATTAATGTGGCCAGTTATTCAATTGTCTGAATAGTATACTGCCAATTAGGACAAGGGGTGCGTATCACTTGATTGTCTTAAATTAGTGGCAAATGGCACAATTTCATTGCCTCGCAAGCAGTCTAATCTATGTCGTAAGAATAGTTAATCTAGTTTAAATGAACCCGCATGTGTGTTTGTTAATTAGAATTGGGTCTTTCTAATTCCTAAAACTGTGAATAGATTAAATCTTTCGAGCGTCTCTGGGGTTATCTATTTTACAAGGGAGTAGTTTAAGAGCGTCTTTGGACTACCGTAAAATTAAGGAGATATTGGTAGTTTGACGGTTGCTAAATTGCTAGAACCAATTTATTTGCGAGCGTGTGAATTATTCTTGGCATCTATAATCAATTGCGTGAATCGGTGCCGAAATTATTTCCTTGACTAGGTTGTGTCAATTAATTGTTTATTATATTCTTTAACTACTGCACTTTCTTGCAATTGGAAATTTAGTACTCTTATATCTTTAATTTGTTCTTTTTGTCTTCCTTTCTAAAACCCCCCAAATTCTCTGTGTGTAATAAATCTATCAGTTCCCTGAAAAACGACCCTACTCAGCACTATACTCGTTTAGTTTTGAGAGTAAGTCTTAATATAAATTTTATTTTTGATAGTTTGACAGCCACCAACTATACTGATGGTCAAATATAGAGGTGGCAAGACTTCCAAGTTTATCCATGCCTAAAAATATGAAAAAGATGTCAACATATTCTTAAAGTGCATTATAACAATATTGTGCCCTTACCCAAAAAAATTTTTTTTTGGGGAGGGGGGGAGGGGGGGGTTCTTCACAACTAGTGTTATATGCCAGTATTCTTTTTTTTTTTTTCGAAAATGATAGATGTTTTTATTAATAAAATCTTATAGTATTTGAGCAACGATCCAAAAAACTATTGTTATATGCCAGTATTCGTAGGATAGAAATGTATTAGTCGGTATTGAAAGTTTCTAGTTGTAGTCGAGTCAAAAACTAAAAATTCCAAGACCAATAATTGCATGATTGACAGTAGATAATTCGTTTTTTCAGAAATTGATAATTGCATGATTGATAGTTGTAGTAGAGAAGGATGTCGTTATTGCTGGCTATACAGGGAGTAACATAAGTGAAGAGGCAAAATCAGAAAAAAAAAAGAGAGACAAAATCAGATCTTAGATATAATTTATATAACCCAAAATTGACCCAACCATGGAGATGAAATATATAAATCAAGGGACCTCCGATGTCTATTCTACAAAATTATTGAAATCGATTCTTTGTACTGAAGATTTAGTTTTACAAATGTCTTCAAAATGCTTGCTATTCTCACAAGCCAATAACACTTTTTCATACGTATTAAATGGTTCCATCAATCTCCTATCATTTATATCTTGAATTAATAAAAGCAACTATTGTTTTTGTTGCTTTGGAAGATTAAATAAACCCACGTGTTTACATGAAAAGAAAATTTGCTAGCAAAATGCTTTTTAGAGCGTTTTTATCATTATTTTGATTACTTTCTCACAAGATAGCAAAAAAAGAAAAAAAGAAAATGGAAGTGATGGATTACGTCCCATGAAATATATATAAATATATATATGGGATAATTTCAAAAACCTCTCCGGAGGTTTACGACAATGTCATTTGACACCTCTAAACTTTAAGAAATCTCACATATGTCCCTTACTTTTCAACTTTTTATAACTTTATCAGCCCATTTTAAAAGATACTATGATTTAAGAGCTCATTTTGGGAGAGATAAAATATTTATATTCCAAAATTACACTTTTTTGTGGACCTTTAGTTTTCATCCTTAAGAATTACAATATATTAATTAGGTTGAAAGACCTTTTGTAATTTTTGAAGTCATCAGTCTAGACAAGGGAATGCAAAAGAAAAAATTATTATAATTAGAAAAAAATAATATTTTGTGCCTTGAAAGTACCTCAAATTCGTTTCTAAATGTATTGTTAATAATTTATTTTTCTCTTGTTCTCAAGCCATCAATTTGGAAAAAAAAGTTAGAATACTTAAAAAATTCTGAATTCATCTAAAAATACATTGAAATAAAGAAAGTTCGTGTTATGTTTTCAAAAAAACCTCAAATGAGTTTGTAAATATAATTTTAGAAAGTTGTGTCTGTCTATGATAGTCAAGTCTGTCCAAAAAAAAAAAATTAGAAAGTTCGAAATTCTTAAATTTTTAAAACTACTCAAAGTTCAGGGGTATAAAGTGATATTGCCACAAATCTCAGGGGAAGTTTTTGAAATTATCCCTTTTTTAGCAAAAGGTTAGACTTTTTTTGATGGGACAAATTCTGCATTGCATTCCTGAACTTAAACCAGTTTCTCACTTTGTATTCTAAATTTAAATTTTGAAAACTTTGCACCTTAAACTCTTAATTTTGAATACTTTATATTGTAAACTCTCAAGTTTTGAAGATTGCCTCCAAGCTTTGCACTGGATCAAGAATTCTCAAGAGAGTGGTTGACAAAGTATGCAGATTTATCAAACAGTTTCCTCATGGGCACTAGTGCAGGAGGAAACATAGCCTATCATGTTGGTCTTAGTGCACCTTCTTCTGCTGATGATCTTCAGCCTTTGAACATTAAAGGCGTGATTTTGCACCAACCATTCTTTGGTGGCAACAAGAGGACGGATTCGGAGTTGAGGGCTGTAAATGACAAGATTGTACCACCCTGTGTTAGTGACATCATGTGGGAACTTTCATTGCCCGTAGGCGCTGACCGAGATCATGGATTTTGCAATCCAGTATTGAGCATCAAACCCGGACAATTCGATCATATTAAAGATTTGGGACGGAAGATTTTGGTGACTGGCTATGATGGTGATCCATTGTTTGATCGTCAAGTTGAGCTTGTATAGATGTTGGAGGACGAGGGTGTACCTTTAGTGGCTAAGTTTGCACAAGGAGGCTATCATGGTATTGATGGTTTTGAGCTTCCTAAACTTAAGGTCCTGTGTCAGGTTGTCAAAGAGATTATAATCTCCTTTGTAACAACAGCTTAGAAAACTAATGTTGCTTTGTGATTTACTTGGATGAGGAATAATTTCTTGTTTAATTTCTTGTGTCAATTTTCATAAATGAAAATTTATTGTTGATTAATTTTGTGATGTTCTTGGCACCAGAGCTGTGGGCATGGATGCTACGGTAGATTGGTTTTCTCATTGGAGGCAATTGGTGGTATCGGGTGCTTGACTTGAAAACTTCACTAAATCAAAATTAAGAAATTAGAATTTAAATTGATAGACTATGCATTAAGCTTTATATAAAATGTTTATGTGACAGGATTATATTTCGAGGATTGAGGATTCTAGAGGTTTTGGGTTTTAATATCATGTTCCATCCTCACTTCTAAAATTCTACCTCTTTCCTGCTGAAAAAAAATTACAAAAAAAAAAAAAAAATCTTCAACCAAATGCTGCTTTCAAAAACCTTAAAAAGGCCGTGGATTACCATATTCATATGTTTTGGATTGCGCAATTCAGATCATCTATTTTTGGGTCCATTTGTAATTTGATTTATATAGTGTAAGAAAACCTACTTCACGCAAATTCGTGGCATTTAAGAAACAAAAAAAAAAAATTAAAAGCTCGTAGCATTTTTTATGCAAGTGGAGCTCTTCTTCACAAGCACATTTTTTCTTCACGCATACTCCCCATGTCTCTCCTGCATACACATATTCTGTGTTCGAATAGAGTAGGAATTAAAAAAAAATCTAAAATAGTAATTTAACAAACAAAATAACAATATCAATATTAACTAAATAATATCCATAGAATAGAATACTTAAATTCAGCGCTCAAGTTTAGCTGATTGTCAGATGGATATAATAGATATGACATTGTAAATTCAATATTCGTTTGAATTGAGGAATTTGAAATCCATCTAAATGGCTTTAGTTGTTTGGATTGTTTAATAGGCATTTAACTATCCAATATACCAATTATTAAAATATATTTTAAATACTAGAATAATTTGTAATTTTCAAATTCAAATACTTAATAAATAATATAAATAACTAGAGGGATTCAAGAGGATTTCAAACCCTTGATTAGATCCCTCAATCCAAACGCAACCTAAATGTTTTAGCACTTAAATTTCAATCTTCAGTTTTCATATTCTAGTTTTCAGCTTCCAATGTTGATATAATAATCCCGTAAGCTGCAAACAAACAACACTATTTGATTGGATATGAGTTTATTTGGGTGATTTATTTGAGATAATTACTGTAACAATTTTTGTGATGTGATGTATGCGAGATGAAAAGGTGATTGAAATTTGTGAAGCAAATTATTTTATCTCAAAACATTTCAATCTAAACACACCAATATATCATTAGCATTAGGGCAAAATACACTTTATCCCTCCATGGTTTAGCACTTTTTTATATAACCCCACTATGATTTTAAAAATTATACATAATTCCATCATAACTTGGATTAAAGTATCAAAATGACGGAATTTGCATTCCATAATGAATTCAAGTAAAATATCAAAAGTACTTCTATGTAAAGTTGAAATTATTTATTAACTAAAGCGGGTTATGTATATATTTTAAGAATTATAAGGGGGTTATATGGTAAAATACTAAATTACAATGGGGTTATATGGTAAAATATAAAATCATATGGGGTCAGAGTATCATGTATATTATGTTTATATATTTTTATCACTTCACGCATTTTAGTTTTTAAATAAGGATAATTTCGATATTTTATGGATTCCGTTACAATGATCATTTCTATTATTTTGACACTTTAATCCAAATTATGAGATGGTTATATATAACTTTTGAAACTATACAGGGGTTATGTGAAAAATTGCTAAGCCACGGGGGGTAAGATCTATTTTATCCTTTGCATTATTGTGATGGATTACAAAATTTGTTATCACATCAAGCATTAAATATAATATCAGTAATCACCTTTTACCACTTTAATTTCACACTTAAATGACAACATCTTCTTTTTTTTTTTTAAAAATTTTTTCCCGTGTTTTGTTGCTGGCAATACCATTTAAACAACCGTCAGGCTGCAGGCGCTAGGCCCCTTGTTCTATCATCATGTCAAGACAGAAGAACTAAGCCAAATTAACAATGATTGTAACGGTGACGTGTGAGGAATAATTGCAATGCAACACTGTCGTTTTGAGAAATGTTAGTAATAAAAGGGGATAAGTAGAACGGTGTCGTATGAATAGCTGAGTTAGTTAGGAATAGGCACATGGGATGTAACAGAAATTGGGTGGCGGTAGTTAGTTATCCTATTTGTACTAGTATGATTGGCAAAAGAGGTATCAGAGAATAACAATTGTATTTTCCTCTTTCCTTACTTTCTCTCTCTAGTTCCTCTACTCTCTGTACTTCTCCTCAATCTTCTCTCTCTCTCAGCTCTTCCGAGCTTCTCCTCCTTTTTCAAATTAGGGCTATGGTAGTAGAAGCCTGACAAGTGGTATCAGAGCTTGTCGAATCCTTGGAATTGAGCAGCAATGGCGGAGAGTACCAGGTTCAAGACTTTGGAAGAACAGATCAAGAAACAAGATTCCAAGCTCCAGAAGGTGATAGAAGGTCTACAGGCTTCGCACCACCAACAACAGCAGCTTCGCGAGGAGTTGCGAGCAAAATTAGAGGAGAACAACAAAAGAATGGAAGGTCTGGTAACAGGAATGAAACAAGAGTTTAGCTCCTTCATGAATATGATACTGGAAAAAGAGAAGCTGAATTATGAGCCTGGAAGAACCATGAGTGATCAACCACCACTGCTGCCGACACCACTACCTAGTTAGAGGCTGCAAGTTGGATTTGAAAGCAACAGGACTGGAAGAAGAGAGACAAACAAGGTCCTGATTCCAAATCCATCAAAAATTGACTTGCCTCTATTCTCTGGGGAAAATCCAAGGGAATGGATCCGAAAATGCAACAAGTATTGTGTAAACTACCAAATTCCTGAGGAACAGAAGGTGGAAGTGATCGAGATGTATCTGGAAGGGAAGGCGGACAGGTGGTTCCAGGGAGTTAAAGTGGAGAAACCTGAAATCACATGGCTGATGTTTGAAGAATTATTGTGTAGGAGGTTCGATAACAAGGCAAGTAAAGATGTTGTGGAGGAATTCAACAAATTGCACCAAATAGGAAAGGTTGAGGAGTATCAGGAAAAGTTTGAAGAGCTCAAGGTTCTCATGATAGTGAAGAATCCACATCTGAGTGAAGAATATTTCATATCAAGCTTCATCAGTGGACTGAAGGTAATGAAATCAAGACTATGATCAGAATGTTAAAGCCTACATCTCTATTTGAAACTTTTGAATTGGCAATTTTGCAGGAGAATGCGTTGAACCTGCAGTCCAGGAACCCTAAGGAGAACGTAAGAACTAACTTAGAGAATAGGTTTGGGATCTCAAAAAGTTCATCTCAGCAGTTGAGTCACAATACACATTACAAAGTACCCCCTATTAGTTTATTCAGAAATACTCACTTCAAAGGCAAACCTGTTTCAACTACTAAAGCAGAACCAAGAAGAATTTTAGCACAGGAAATACAATATAAAAGGAACAATGGCCTATGCTTCAAGTGTGGAGAGAAGTTTGGGCAGGGACATCAGTGCAAACTCAGCCACCTGAACTTCCTGATCAATGATGAGGAAGAGGACACTAAATTTGAAGATACACTGGGGGAGCAAGATGAAACCACAGGAAATCCAGGGCATTTCATGGAGATGTCCCTACATTAGTAGGAAGACTGGATGGGGAAGAAATGCTGATCCTGGTGGACACAGGCAGCTTTGATAGCTACATTAGCAGTGAGAAGGTAATCGCCTTTGACATTCCTCCTAAATTAGTAAATCCTTTTTCTGTGGTTATGGGGAATGGAGCCTGTGTAACCAGTAAGGCAATATGTCCTAAGGTGGTATGCGGGATTAATCAACATAGGTTCTGCTATGACCTCAAAGTAATGGATCTACATGGATGGGACATAGTATTGGAGGTGGACTGGATGACTCAGTTCAACCCTATCGCTTTTGATTTCCACAAGCTGACTATCTCTTTGCAATATCAATAAGAAGCAGTACACTTGCATGGTCAGGTTGAAGATTGTGACTTAGATTTAATCAGGAGAGGTGACCTGGGGACATTCATTGAATACAAGAGACAGTTGTGCATGTCCATGAGAGTAGGATAGGGTGATCAGGTGCAGGGAAATGACATTTTTGCAGGAGTCCAGGGTATTATTGAAGAATTCACAGATGCGTTTGCAGCACCCATTGAGTTACCACCAGTAAGGAGTATAGACCATGAGATACCACTAAAACCTGAATCTCAGCCCTTCAAGATGAAGCCTTATAGATACTCTCACTCTCAAAAGGGGGAAATTGAACAACAGGTTAAGGAGATGTTGCAGCATGGAATCATAACTCACAGTAACAGTAACAGTCCCTTTGCTTCTCCAGTTCTACTTGTTAAGAAGAAGGAAGGGACCTGGTGTTTTTGTATAGAGTACAGAAGACTGAATGAGATGACCATCAAGGACAGGTACCACCATACCCAATGTAGATGAACTAATCAATGAGCTAGCAGAATGCAAATATAAATCAAAGTTGGACCTTACTACAAGCTACCACCAGATCAGGGTCAAGCCTAAAGATACATACAAAACTGCTTTCCAAACACCTTGTAGTCATTATGAGTTTCTAGTAATGCCTTTTGGGCTGACAAACGCCCCAACCACATTTCAGGCTCTCATGAATCAGATATTTCAGCCTTACCTGAGAAAATTTGTTTTAATTTTTTTTATGATATATTGATCTATAGTCCTACATTAGAGCTACACTAGCAACATCTGAGAACAGTTTTATCAATTTTGAAG